GTGTGTGTGTGTTGTTGAGTGTGTGTGTGTGTGTTTATGTATGGTATATATATAGTATGATATATATAGGATAATATATATATTAGTATAATATATATACATATATATATATATATAGATATAATTATATATATATAATAGTGTGGTGAATGTGTGTGGTGTGGTGGTGTGTGTGTGGTAAGTGTGTGAGTGTGGAGTATACATATATGTATTATGTATGCTAAATATAGAATATACATACATATATATATAATATATATTATATATAGATAATATAATATATATATAATAAATATAGATTGTTGTGTGTGTGTGTGTGTGTGTGAGTGTGTGTGTGTGTGTGTGTGTTGGAGCTGTTGTGTGTGGTGCGTCGCTGTGTGTGTGAGCCATTGTGTGTGTGGTGTGTGGTGTGGTTTGTTGTTTTGTGTATGTTTTGTGTGTGTGTTTTGTGTGCTATTTGTGTGCTGTGGTGTGTTTGGCTGTAATGTGTGGTTGTGTTATGTGCGTGTGCGTGTTGTGTGTGTGTGGCGTGTGCGCGTGTGTGTTGTATGTGGGTGTGCTGTGTTGTGTGTGTATGTGTGTGTGCGGCCGTTGCGTCCGTAGAGAAACGATTAGTGTTGCGTGTGCGTGTGTGTGTTCGTGGTGTGTGATGTGTGTGGCGTGTGTGTGTGTGTGTGTGTGTGTGCGCGTAGGACGGTGTGTGTATGTGTGTCCGTGGCGTGTGCGTGTGGTTGAAGTGTGTGTGGTGTGTGTGTGTGTGGTGTGTGTGTGTGTGTTGTGTGTGTGTTTGGTGTGTGTGTGTGTGATGCTGTGTGTGAATTGTGTGTTTGGTGTGTTGTAATCCAGTTATATCTATATCTAACTACAATATGATACACATATATATATAATCCCACATGTTTGTCACATACGTATCTTCACACATACATAATAACATATGCATATCATTGCTTCCTCTCTTTAATCCTCTCTTCTTGCCACAATAGACAACACGACATTCCAATGTCGTGTTGTCTATCTCTTCTACAAGAGCTATGTGCTGATGTAACCCTTGCTTGTTCATCACCCGTTCGTCACATGCTAACCAGTGCCTTGATGCGATCTTAGACCATTTACGGAGATCGGGCAACTCCCTGCTGGAAGCCAAGGAGCAATACCTCGCTCCAAGGAGCTTCCGCACTCCAACAATCTTATTCAGTAAGTCAAAGTCAAGACATTCTTGGTTGTCATACCTTAACCCTAAGCTCGCCATCTACCAAACTCTTGTAGGACCCAACATTTGGGCTCTTACAGTGTGTGTGTGTTGTGTGTGTTGTGTGTGTTGTGTGTTCTGTGTGTGTGTGTGTGTGTGTGTGTGTGTGTGTGTGTGTGTGTGTGTGTGTGCTATTATTGGAAATGACGCTTAACACCAAAAATGATGACCCGAGGTAACGAAACAATTGGACAGAAATGTAGCGGATGACGTCAGCGAGGTAACTCAAATGAGCCAATGGGAATTGCACTAGGTAGTCAAGTGACAATAGACGTCCGCGACCAATCTTAATGTCAATAAGATTTGTAATAGATAATCACGTGACAATAGAAGCTGGACCCAAGTGAAGTCAGTTGAATTTCAAGTCAGGTCCTTCATGGCTAGGCTGTGTATAATGTGATGTCTCACCTTTAACATGCCAAATATCGCGGTTATAAAGAAAAAGAGCGGCGAATATGGTCACAGTTCCCGCCACAGCGACGACGAAGATTTTGACGACTTATAGGCTAGCCATTGCGATTTCACTGGTCAAGGTAAGAAATTATAGGTACGAGAACCAGATAATTGCCCGGCTCTATCCTGTCGTAACATACGAGTTAAAGATTTTGCAGACCCGGCGGCACCCAACCCCCCTCAAAAGAAATTTGGATGGGAGCAATCTGTTTACTACGAATGGGCTAAGCAATAACTAAATTAGTAGATTCACTTTTACCCTACTTTTCTCCCGATACTTACCGTGGCCTCCCCAGCTACCGGTGCCGATAACATAGTTGTGCTTCGTTTCCGAAGGAAACAAGTATTAGATTCGTTCGAAACACAACGAGAAATTTCAGGAAATAGTTTTCATCCAGAAATGTCAGACTTTATCATAATTTCATTTTTTTGCACAGTCGAAAGTACTTTATTTGATGCCGGAAATTCTGTATAATTAAGGTCACCCCTATAGGTGTCACATTTTCTATGACGATCACGAAACGCTTTCGTTTTCTTTGAATGATGTATTATGAGGATATACTCTTTTGTTATTAGTTTAAATATGACTCATGAACCTTACATGGACAGAATGACGAACGAAGATTAAAGAAATATCATTGAAGTATTAGTCTTTCTGATACTGTCGAGATCTCAAAAGCAGAAAAAAAATTCTTGCAATGCATTTCTCAGATCTGATATAATTATCAATAGTTTTTATCATATTTATGTTTGCTCTGATGTAGTTTTGATTTTGTTAATGGTGCCTTAAAGGTAGTATTCTCAGGCTCTAGACCAGAGTCGACCGTTCTTTGGGAAGAGGTGTTCTTAGCACATGCTCGTGTTTAGCAGTTGGAGAATGTTCTCTGTGGAAATAACGCCTCTTTGTTAGAATATAATAGAGCTCAACGTAAACCCGTTGCCGATCACTAAGGGTACACTTTCAACATTTAGCCAAGTAGCAATATCCGCTAGATTAGACCCCCCCCCCCCTGCTAGAAGGCCCCTTTGTCTCCCTTCTTGATGGGTCGTGAACTCGTGATAAAGTTGCAGGGAGTGAAAACACATGTCGGTGTGACTGATAATTCAAGCACTGCAGATTTTATTTTGTTTTATTTTTTACATTTGGCAGATTCTTTGCAACTGAAATTTGCGGCAAGAATAGTCGTTCTCGCTTGAGGGATCTGCGAACAGAGAAAGGATTTTTGTGTCGTTTTCTTTATGGTAAATATTCGGAATACCATCGCATAACCGATCGCGACGATTTTGGTATCGATGGGTTCCTTTCAATCCCTTCTATCCAAATGAATCGAAATTACGCAGCGGAAACCCCCCAGCAGCAACAATCTTGGACCCGATAGCAGGTAAAGGCATGAAAGGTATTATGGAAATTGCGGGGTCACTGTACTGTGTATTGCAACCCCCCTCCCTGAAGCTACCGCCCCTCAACCCCCGCAATGGAAGACAGAGACCTCCGCGTATTCACGGCCAAGGTCTATAAAAGCAAGGTCTATATAAGTACTTATATAGACCTTGTATATAAGTACTTATAGTGACCTAGTGGCAGGAGAGAGCGCACGACCGACCTGTGGGAGCTTCATCCCTTGTACGAGAGCCCCCGATGGCGAGTCTGTCCGATGCTCTCTCCTGCCGTGAATACGTGGAGGAATCTCTCTTTTCCAGGGCGGGGGGTGCCATGGGGGATTGCAGGGGGCAGCAGCCTCCCATGGGGGATTGCAGGGAGCATGACCCCCTGCATTGTACTATATATTAGCCAGTTCTGTGTATCATTCATATTTTACTCAATTTCCCAGGTATCACCTATGCCCTTCCCTGCTCCCGGGGCCGAGATTGTGGTTATTGGGGAGTTTCCGCGGTATGACTTCTGTTTATTTGGTGGTATAGGGTGGGAGGAATCCATCGATACCAATATAGTTGTGGTAGGGCATACGAAGGTATTTTGAACGTTACCCGTGACGCAGTTTGTGAGGAGGGACAGAACTGTTCAGCTGGTCAATATGAACAATCCATAATACGATGATGATGCCTCTCTCTCTCTCTCTCTCTCTCTCTCTCTCTCTCTCTCTCTCTCTCTCTCTCCTCTCTCTCTCCTCTCTCTCTCCTCTCTCCCTCTCTCTCTCTCTCTCTCCCTCTCTCTCTCCCTCTCTCCCTCTCTCTCTCTCTCTCTCTCTCTCTCTCTCTCTCTCTCTCTCTCTCTCTCTCTCTCTCTCTCTCTCTCTCTCTCTCTCCTCTCTCTCTCTCTCTCTCTCTCTCTCTCTCTCTCTCTCTCTCTCTTTGTTTTTACCTTCAGAGAATGGCTAATTGAGAAGATGCAAAAATTACAAAATGATTGTGCGTATATCTTGCAGTGCACGTATTGCAATTACGCTTTTCTTCTAAATTACACAGTTATTATTATTAGTTACAAGGACGATAACTGGCCTCACGTTACTAATCGCAAAATGTATTTCCCAGGAGAGGATTATCTTCACTGAATGTTATCAGTAGTTCACACTTTGCAGTTCCCTGGTCAGAGGCCGTAGTCGCCCATGTTATCAAATGCACGTGTTTTCAGTGAGGCACCGTGTCCGAAGGTCACTGATAGCTATTTTTGCTCCGTCATAAACTTCCCTTTATTCATACATGTAAAATCTATCAGGTTTAATGAATTCGAGGTTTGCTAAATTTTTCAAGCTACAGAATACTAAGTTGAAATTAAGCTTGGTGGTCATATTAGGGATTTAAGCACGAGTTTTAAAATAACGACTTTTTTTTCCTTCTTAATTTGGTGATACGAGGTTTGATGTTTTAATCATTATGTAGAATGATGGATCATCAATTTGTACTTATTCAGAGACTCAGTGAAGTATTCAACAAAATATTATACACATATTTAACGTTTGAGTATATGCCTGCACTAGATGTTACGTAGGATTTGTTTGACGCCCATCGAAAAATTAGTTTTTTTGTAATTTCCGGACTCATCTTTATTTATTGACAGCATGCAGTTCGTGTGCCATGTTCAATATGTAACAATTACAAGATTGAATTTCAACACAAAATTATTCAAACGCAAAGACTAGACATATCACATATTGTGATATTTTCGGTCTTGTAAAATTAACATAGAATAGACCTATAAGTCATTTCAATAGCCGTTTTATTTATATGCTACTTACGGTACATGCAAAGAAAAAAATCCTACTGTATTATTAATTAATTTCGAAGGTGCTTGGTAGCAAATACATGTGGGGTCTTTCAGTGAAATATTGTTTGATAATGTATATTTTTATTTATTTATCTACAAAGGATATGGATGGATTCTTCAGTATGCGATTCACGTACTTTTTACATATTATTGCAAAGAGATTTACAACGAATAGTACTGGAAAATAATTAAGTACTAGTTTATATGCATAGTATATAGTCCTGCATATTTCTCAACCTAAAGAAATTTGCTGTGTGTAAATACATGAAAAGTTACTAACATACATGATAAAAACGTGATTAGATAGGAAATTATTATAAAGAAGTGAACTGAGAAGAAAATAATGATTAAAAAAGAAAAGAATGGAATAGAAAAAGAAACAAAGAATAAAGAAAATTAGAAAAAACAGGTTAACCTAAACATTAAAAAAAGCTAAATAAAAAATAAAAACAACATATACACATATAATCTACTGCTCCTTGGCCTTGAGTGTGATGTGTATTCTTCTGCTGAGGAGGATGAGGAGCACAGAAGACGCAGCCAGGATCTCGAGAAGCAGGAAGACCCCGTTCCACGAGAAAGTTCTGGCGACCCAACTCAGCGGCCAACCGGCGACCACAGCGCCGACTGGGGAGAGACAGGGCGGTCAAGTTGAGGAACGAAAACGGAAGATGGGAAAGAAAATGGGAAACGGCGATGGAGGATGAGAAGGAAGAAGGGTGAAACTGGAAAGAGAAAGCGAGGAAGAGGTGCAGAAAGGGAGAAAAGGGGTGAAGTGGAAGTGTAGGAAAAGAGAAAGAGAAGAAAGATTAACCGAAAAAAGGGAAAAAAGAAGAAGGGAGAGGAGAGAAAATGAGAAGGAAGGAGGCAGGAAAAAAAGAAATACTAACTACATTTTTTCAGAATGCAGAATTGATTGATAAAATACTTCAAATATCAGATGTTTCAAATAGTAACAAAATCAGCAACTATATCAGGTGCATGTATACAGAATCTGCCGGGTCGTGTCTGAGTGAGTTTGTGCCTGTGCCGTGTGTGTGTGCGTTTGAGTGAAATATTACGTATGCATGTACAGTTTCTCCATTCACGTATGCCTATCCATCCATATGAGTCTGTTGACATCTATAAGCCTACGCAAGCACGTGCACACGACCATCTCCGTAAACCCGCGTGTCTTTCCCTCCCCATACCCACCATTGGCAGCGAGGGCCACCACGGCATGCGCAGTGCCAGACAGATGTGCGGGGAAGGATTCGGACGCCACGATGCCGTAGATGGAAATCGGCCCGAACATGCTGGCCCCGAGCAGCACGCCCACCGCGGAGACGAGAAGCTGAGGGGGACAGAAAAGTATTAACCTTCTTATTCACATTGGATGCGTCTCTGCCGTCGGGTTTGGCGCATCATCGTTGCTCTACACGGTGTATTACCAGTGCAGTAGAATACAACAAATCAAAATAAATATGAAGGATGTATCGTACTAAGTACTAAGTATGTATAGTACAAATCGTACTAAGCGGTATATTTGTAAA